CACATTTGCAGTGGGCAACAACGGATCTCCACAGACGCACCGGTTCTCGTTGCTTTGCTTTTCCGTCCCGGCACAACTTTCGGGGTAGGCCGATAATCTCAGCTATTCCGTCCCTCATTAAAGTATCTTCCACCACACTCAACTATCTCTCTCCAGTGCAAAATTTAGGTCGCTTAAAGAAAACAATCAATTTGTTCGTCGTGTCGCAACTTTTTTCTTTGAAAACGTGATACTTTTGTATGGAGGTCCAAAAGTGTGTTGCTAAGGTGTAAACTCCTAAAGCAAGTCAGTCTTTGCTTCTTTGACACGTTATAGAATTTTCACCCTTCATCATCAAAGTTTGAATAAAAAATTTGCGCTGTACCTCGTCACTGCATCCGTTGTTACCGCCATTTTGGACGAGAGATTGTGATGAAGGCTCAATCCCCCGAGGTGTTTGATCCCAAAGTACTGTAGTGTGCACAAAAGCGGGCAATAATAAGAATTCATTTAATCATGGGCAGTCTTTTTCCTACCCAACATTGTCCAGTACGTATGGCGATGCCGCTGGGTTATCGCATCGTAGACATCAAATGAACTTATGCAAGGGAAGGGAATTATGAGTTGGATAAAGTGTACTGGTGGCATGATATGCCAGGAATTGCGAAACCCAACAGGACCGTTTTGGATAAGATAATGTTCATCTGCAATGATGGTGCAGCTGTGAAAAGTCGACTAAAAGACAAGTCGGTAGAATTGGGGTTCATTTGTTCAGCTTTTTACACCAGCACTTTTGAGGCATGGCCTCGGTTCGAAGGGGAGCAAATTGGTATTCAAAAATTTTAGATGGCGCTTAAGAAGAGAATCGAAGCTGTATTTGGGTGGGCACGTCGCCACCCATTTGAAGATAAGGTAAGATGGGATAAGATAAACACAGGTCCTGCGTTTGTTAGAAATTGTTTGTTTTAGGCACCATTCGCTGTCATTTCTGAATATTGTATCATTTACGGAATCCGGTCGAGGTGTTACATTGTAAAATCCACAATATTTGGTCGTGCAAAGAAAAAGTCCTCTTTCCTAGAGCCAAAACAACTTGTATGATTTCCCATTTGGTACAACAAAAGACCCAACAAGTCCTTACGAAACGGTACTTTACTGAAGTCGGAACTTCTTGCTTGAGCAGATAACGTGTTTTGTATGTTGCTACAATAAATCTAAAAAGTGATTGTTTTGGGAAAATTTACTGCAACACCACAAACAATGCGTTTGCGTAACTCGCGGTTTTTGGTAAAAATCACTTTGCCTCGTAGTCACCATTTTCTTGGCCGGATGGGATAACCTTTGAGCTGTGTCAGTAGTCGTAACACCCTTTCTACATTGAACGCAAATGCATTCCGCCTCGACGCTTAGCTTCTGTTGCTATAAGCTCTTGCTCCTGTCTGAAAGCAAACCTGTCGTTGGAGTGCAGTCCGGATGTTGGTTTACACGCTGTCAAAGAGTGCTAGCTCTCGAAAATAAATCTACAATGAAAATTTAGCCTCCCTACTAGGATAAAATTTTTTCTTAAATAAATATGCCTGCCATCTCTCTCACCCTCTACTTTCCTAATTCCCCTTCCGACCGGAGCTGTGCTGTGGACTTGCATTTTGAGGCCAATTTTGACTTAAAGCACTACAACAAACTTTGCTTGACTAGTGAAGTGAGCCGTTTGCAAGGATGTCACCAAGGCCCATGTATGCGAGCTGAGTTGTTCAAATTGTACTGTAACTACACGAACTCAAAGGGCTCCCAGCAAACAAATTTCATCATATTTGGGTCGTTAAGAAAGGAGATGCCGTCAACATTATGACAAGGATTGTACTTGATAGCACCGGTTTGGTGGCCAACATCAGTCGGACATTGTATCCGAAGGCAAAAAACTAAATTCATAAGCATGATTTTCTATTTATCATCTTTCAAAAAATCGAAATGTAAGTATTTGGTTAGCTTTACACCAATCCTGTGAAGAAAGAAGAGTTACGGTGGAGGAAAATGAAAAACTTTGAACGCAACCATACACAGAAAAGAGCGCAGTATTTGGGATGCTTGTGATGGTTCAGACAACGACTGAAAGAGAAGAAATCGTGTTTGAATGCCAAGTAAAGCATCAAAGCATTGAAATGGTCATCCTTGATTAAAAAACATGGAATAGACTAAACGTAATTGCTTGAAGCCGTGCTATTATTTAAAAAATCATGTAATGGAACCCTGTTTACACTTTGTGCAATCCACTTGACGGCGTACCGACGGAGCTCGGAGTGACAGACACAAGTTAGTTATTTAAGCATTTCCGAGGTATTGCTGCACCTCTTTGTATTCAACTACTTCTTTGCGTGAATGCCTCTTTACAAACAGAGGACGTATCTAGCTCGATCCGAAAAGATTCTACAAAGTCAATTTTGCTGTGTCATTTTACCATCGAAGGTTGACCCAATTGCACACATGGCTAAAATTTTACCGGATTCACCGCAATCGTATAAAATGAGAATAATTTACTCGGATTGTCAACATCAAAAGCAGCGTGGAAAGGCAGTACTAGGAGTAGGGTTGTGTCCTTGCCCTCCATAATCAGCATTTTAATTATCAGCCCCACATCTATGTGGTACGAATGATACTTGCGAAATGAAAGAAAATAAGTAAGTCTTAATTCAAAGATTTGATGTAGGCAAGCTTCCTTAAAGGCTTTTGCATTCTCGACATGCGATGGTCAAAGAGAACTTACGAGCTAAGCGTCTGTCTCGCCCCAGTCCACGGTGACTGTTAAAGTATCCGCGGCGGTAAAATTTATTACGGAGTAGTCAGCATACATTTTTGGGAACCTTCCTCTGAAAACCATGGCGCCGGTATCCCAGTCAAAACCCATTGCGTCTAACAAAAGGAACAGCGATAAAATTGGAGACCGTTTGGGGATCGTTGAAGGCTAACGAGAGTGCAGATTAAAGAATATTTGCTCAAGTTGTAGGAATGGTTAAAGGCCATCAACCCTCATTACAGGTACGATTAAGTTCTGACCACACTCAAGCATCTTGCTGGCATTAAAAAGCATTTGAAAGAAGGTCAAGTTGTATGGCCGCCGATGAAGACCGAAGTGCAAA